CATCCACCCCGCAGCTCATGTCTGCCCAGGCCCACCCCACCATCCACCCCGCAGCCCATGTCTGCCCAGGCCCACCCCACCATCCACCCCGCAGCCCATGTCTGCCCAAGCCCACCCCACCATCCACCCCGCAGCCCATGTCTGCCCAAGCCCACCCCACCATCCACCCTGCAGCTCATGTCTGCCCAAGCCCACCCCACCATCCACCCTGCAGCCCGTGTCTACCCACGTCCATGCAGCTGTCCATCTTGTGGCCCACGTCTGCCATATCCACCCCCGTAGCCCATGTCTGTCACATCTACCTTGTAGCCCATATCTACCCACGTCCACCTCACTGTCCACCCTGTGGCCCACACCTGCCATGTCCACCCTGCAGCCCACGTCTACCACATCCACCCCACTATACATGCCCTGGATAGCCCACATCTGTCACGTCCACCCCGCAGCCCATGCCTGCCACGTCCACCCCACTGTCCACCCTACCATATTTTTCCCGAGGGCCATTGTAGTCGAAGGGTTTCCCACGGCGGAAGATTTTCAGGGTGGGGTAGCCAGAGACACCGAACCGTTGGGCCAGGTCTGTCTCCGCGGTGGCATCGACCTTGGCTAAAGGGATCGGGGGTGAGCGCCGGCTGAGCTCCTTGGCTGCCTTCTCGTACTCGGGGGCAAGCTTCTTGCAGTGCCCACACCTGCGGGAAGGAGCCTGCTGGGGGGTGGGGCCTCGGCTGACAGGCCACAGGCCCTACCCATGGTGCCCCCAGAGTTATATTGCTGTCCTGCTGACCACACATCCCAGGAGGCTCAGAGCACTGGGAGGAAGCTCAGAGCATGGGGGGGAGGCTCACAGCACTGGGGGGAGGCTTACAGCACTGGAGGAGGCTCACATCACTGGGGGGAGGCTCATAGCACTGGAGGGAGGCTCAGAGCACGGGGGGGAGGCTCACATCACTGGGAGGAGGCTCAGAGCATGGGGTGAGGCTTACCTCACTAGGGGGAGGCTCAGAGCACGGGGGGGTTGGGGCTCAGAGCACTCGGGGGGAGGCTCATGGTGCTGGGGGGAGGCTCAGAGCACTTGGGGGAGGCTGAGAGCACTGGGGAGAGGCTCAGAACACTGGGGGGAGGCTCCCATCACTGGGGAGGCTCACAGCACTGGGGGGAGGCTCACAGCACAAAAACCACAAGGACACGAGTCACCACGGCAGGAGAAGGAAGACCCTCACAGAGGAGGGATCCTTTTTGGGACAGGAGAGGACCTGACTCAGGACAACAGCCTCACACAGGGCAGTGGGAGCCAGCACAGGCCCACCGGGGGCATGGGACGGGAGCAGAAGCAGAAAAACGGATACATGGAACACCAGCTCATACAGTGGGGGGCGAGGGAGGCCGGGCGTCAGGACCCCGAGCTCAGACCACAGAAGAGGAGCCCACGGAGACGTAGTCAGAACTGGCTCCACCGCTGGCCCAGCCCAGACGGCCTAGCCCCAAGCAGAGATGAGGGAGAAACTATGCTTCTGCCTCAGGAGAAGTGAGGGGCTGGGCCAGGCCAGGGAGCCCCGCTGCGCTGCCCCACCACGGCCAGGTCAGCATCGCCCACGGACCGGCACGGCGAGCATGCCGCCCTGCGTCCTGGCAGCCAGGGGCTAGAACACTGCTGTGGTCTCAGGCTGGAGTGACTCCAAGTTACTCTTCCACCAGGAGGGCAAAGTGTCTCCTCAGGCTCTGGGAGGATCGCCCTTCCTGTCCCAGCAACACCCCTGCCCCCACCAGAGGGCCCACAGGCTACAGCACAGCCCAGCAAGGCCGCAACAACGCAAGCGCCCCTCCACAGTGCCACCCCCTACCACGGGGCGTAGAACTCCACCAGGATGATGTCGGCCTCGCCCACAACGCTGTCGAAGTTCTGTGCCGTCAGCACCAGCGTGGCCTCAGGCGGGGGTGTCCAGGTGGGCTGGGAGACCTCTCTAACCTTGGCAACGATTTCTGGAAGAAACAGACAAGCGTGACAAGCTGAGGCGCTGGGGGCGGGCGGGCAGGCAGGTGGCAGGCGCCATGAGGGTCCACATCCATGGCTGGTACCACCTGCAGTTTGAAGACCCAGAAAGGGCCAAGAGCCCCGTTTGCAGTGATTGGCAGCAGCCCTGTGGCCACCCCCCATAGCCCTGGCTCTGCACAGGCCCCTCTGTCCAGACAACGGTGCAGCCCGGAGCCCGCTGGGCCCCTCGGCGTGTGCGTGTATGTGTGTGTGTGGCGTGCAAACCCAGGGGACACCACGGAGGAGCCGCAGCAGCCGGACTCAGGGACGGGGCACAGACAGTGTTCCTCCAAAAAACTTCCCAAGAACCACCGGGCACAGTGTCCGCAATTCCTTTCTTCCTTTTCCCTGTAGAGCCCAACCTCCGGGGGGCCTGGTGCTCCTGGAGTCAGACCCTCTGCCCGAGCGCAGCCAGGCCTGGCCTCTCACCTCTGGGTGTCTTAACTCCAGACCTTCGGCACCAGGGTCTGCAAGGGGACGTCCCCTCCCACCTGAGAGGAATTCAGGCCTCAGTCCCCCAAATGTCCCCACAGGGAGCACCCGCAGGCCCCGGGGTGCCCAGGGAAGCCTGCCAGGTTCTCGCAACTTTTCTTCTTGTCTCTGTGGTAGATTCTGCATGTCCACTTGCCCAGGTGATTACACCAGCTGTCTGGTGAAACACGTTCAGGTGTCGCTGGAAAGATATCTTGCAGACACGGCTAACATTTACAGTCAGCTGACTCTGAGTAAAGTGCACCACCCTCCATAACGGGGGTGGGCTTCATCCCTCAGCTAAAGGCCCTGACAGCAAAACTGACGCTTCCCAATGAGAAGAACTTGGCCTCAAGAGAGTAAAAGAAATTCTGCCAGAGTTTCCAGCCTGCTGCCACCAGATTTCAGGCTTGCCCGCCCACAACCACGTTCGCCAGCCTCCCTCTCTCTTACTGGCTCCCTTTCTCTGGGGAACGCCGACAGTCTCCATCGCCCAATCCCCACCTCCCTCTCGATCCCCAGGAAGCGTCCTGACCGCCTTCTGAGCACGGTGCCACTCACCTTCCTGTGTCCTGGCGCCCTCGTAGTCGACAGCCTGCCCCTTCTTGAGGATCTTGATAGTGGGGTAGCCGCTAACGTCAAACCTGCTGGCCACTGCCGAAGCTGTGGTTGCGTCAATCTTGGCCACAGGGATGGGGGGAGTGTCACCCTTCAGCGTCTCGGCAATTTTTTCATATTCCGGAGCAAACTGCTTGCAGTGTCCACACCTAGAATTAGATTTAGGAAAAGCAGCTCGTGGTACCCATGGAAGTTAGAATCCAGTCGTGCTCACAAAAACGGGGGCTTTGGAGCCGGAAACACCCAAGTTAGGGGAAGAGAGGCAACAAGCATCATAGGGAAGGCCGGGGGGTTTGAGGACAGAGCCGGGCTGGAGCACCCCCAACACCAGACGAACACGGCCGGGCTGGAACACCCTGAGTACCAGACGGACAGAGCTGGGCCAGAGCACCCTCAGCACCAGATGGACAGAGCTGAGCTGGAGCATCCTGAGCACCAGATGTTGGACAGAGCTAGGCTGGAGCACCCTGGGCACCAGACAGAGCTGGGCTGGAGCACCCTGAGCACGAAACAGAGCCAGGCTGGAGCACCCTGCGCACCAGATGGACAGAGCCAGGCCGGAGTACCCTGAGCACCAAACAGCCAGGCTGGAGCACCCTCGGCACCAAACAGAGCTGGACTGGAACACCCTGAGCACCAGATGGACAGAGCCGGGCTGAAGCACCAGACAGAGTGGGGCTGGAGCACCCTGAGCACCAGACAGAGCTGGGCTGGAGCACCCTGAGCACCAGACAGAGCCGGGCTGGAGCACCCTGAGCACCAGACAGAGCCGGGCTGGAGCACCCTGAGCACCAGACAGAGCCGGGCTGGAGCACCCTGAGCACCAGACAGAGCCGGGCTGGAGCACCCTGAGCACCAGACAGAGCTGAGCTAGAGCACCCTCAGCACCAGAGCTGAGCTAGAGCACCCTCAGCACCAGACAGAGCCAGAGTCGAACACTGGACAGACAGAGCTGGGCCAGAGAACCAAACAGACAGAATCGGGCTAGAGGGTCCTCAGCACCAGACGGACAGAGCCAGGCTCAATTGCCAGGTCTTCTCTGGCAAACACTTCCAGCATCACCAAACTTTATAGCTAAGTTCTCACATTTGGGCCTGGGACACCTCCAGGGATCTGTGAGGTCAAAGATACGTATCAAGCTGCTGTCTCTCTCCCTCCTTCCTCGTACAGGGGGCTTCCAGGGGCTGTGGGCCCGGGGGCCTGTGCAGTGCCAGCAGGCTGACATCAGCTGTGCCAGGCCACTGTGGTTAGAGACTCGAGGAACAAACATCCTAAACATTTCTTATGTGACAAACACTGGATAGATGTGACCCGCAAAAAAGCTCTCTGGGGCCTCGCAGGTCCTGAGACCTGCTGACCCATCAGGAAGGGATGGCACAGCCTCCTCGGAGACCTGCCGTGAGGACGAGGTCTAAGGTGAAACGCCCGCGTGGTGCTGGAGCAGCAGACGCCGCAGACGCCAGCTGCACATTCGGATGGCTCTGGCTCCACAACGGGACGGAAGGGAAACACGACAGAACAGCAGCTAGGGGAGATGAGGGGACACGGGCGGTGCAAGGTGCCGCATTACAGGGGGGGAAAGATGGACAGGAGGTGGGCACACAGCTGTCTCCCCAGGGCTGTGTGCTCACTCGGGGTGCTGGTGGGGAGGGGGGTGGGCTTGGAGAAGGGCCGTGTCTGTCACGACTCAGTGCCCCGTCACTGCCACCTGCAGGTGTGCTCCCTGCAGCTATCATCACCTGACAAACCCGTACTTCAGGCCCTCGGACGTCGGCATATCAGGGCTCAGGGCAGGTCAGCGAGTGACCGCATCCAAGGCTGCTAACCCTGTACCACACCTTCCCGCCACCCCAGTCTGAAGCCTTGGATTGCCAGGGCCCACCCAGAGCCAGATGCCTGACCCTTACCAGGGTGCATAGAACTCCAGAAGCACCGTGTCCTTGTCAGCCACGAAGGTGTCGAAGTTCGCATCGTTCAGGACCAGGACACCGTTTTCCTCCTTCACTTCCAAATCCTCGTCGTCGTCCTCATCCTCATCTTCGTCCTCTGCGTCCTCGTCCTCGATGGCATCGTCTCTGCTGGGAGAATCTGAGAGGAAACACCAGATGTCAGGGAACTGGGGACCATCACAGCTTCCTGGAGCCCAAGGCCTGGAAATGCACCGAGTCCTGGGACCCCTGGACCAGCCATCCTGGTGTCTGCATCTTGGTGGCCACTGAAGGCTGCATGCTGAGGTCTGGGTGCCGCGGGTCCAGGGTTCGGAGTCTACACTCATCAGTAGTACCGAGGGCCACGCCAGCCCCTTTCCAGACCTGGCCCCCACCTCCCTGACACGGCTCCAGCACAAGCCCCTCCCCCTGCTCCCACTTAGATCTGTTCCCCTCGTAGCCCCCCCAGACCCGCCCTCAGTGCAGACTCTGCACATCCCTGTGCTGAGCAGCACCTCATCCTGCGGTTCCCCTCACACCTATTTCCTCAACCGCTGTGTTTTCCCTGGGTGAGGGAAGGCCCTGCCTAGCCCCGAAGCCCCTGGGATGGAAATAGCTCCTTCTGACTTCTCACACTGGAAGAAGGGTACAAACCTCAGTTCTGAGCAGGAACGGATTTCACTTTATACTCATGAAGCAACCTATGGGTTTGACACTCCTTCAGGGGGAAGGCCAGAACCACATTTCACTTCCATAGTCCCCCAGCCACCTCCAGGGTGGGAGCTGCTCCATGAGGAATTTAGGGTTTGCAGAGCCAGGTTCTCTCCTTTGAAATGCTTCCCCCCACAACGCAAGAGACCGCCACACGTCATTAACAAGGTAGTTTGATTTTTCCCAAACAACAGAAATGCAGAATCGTTGGGCTTCAGTTCTTACTCATCACCTTCTCCAGCCACTGTCCCACTGGCAACCAGAGCTGAGCCAGAAAGCACAACAATCTCGTTAACTCTGAGCTGCAAAGTGTCAGGGGGCTGAGGATTACTCCTTCTCGGAGATGCTTCCCAAGAGATGAATCGGTGTGGCTTGCCACAGCGTTTGTGGCTGAGGATGGGGCGAGGCTTGCAGGCCTGCCTTCAAAGGTGGTGGATGTGATGGCAGAAGAGGAGATGGAGGGGGAGAAAGGAGGAAGTGGAGGGGGTGGCAGAGGAGATGGAGGGGGAGAAAGGAGGAAGTGGAGGGGGTGGCAGAGGAGAT